GAATCTATGACTCGCGACGACCGCCCGTTGGGCTCGTTTAAAGGATTATCCTCAAAGGTGCCCTCGTGTCAAAACACCAACCTTACAAAATGGCTTGACTTCGAAACCTACTGACCGTGAATCGACCCACAGTGCCAATTTTCGATTAATAGGGAAAACCACACCATACCAGTCACTTTCAACATTGTATTATACTTTGCTAATACCTTAATGCCCTTTTACACGCGGGCAGAATAGAATGGATCCTGTGGTGGGAAAATCACCTTTTCAGCATTGTCACATTTACAACTGTTTTACCGCAAATATCGCACGGAAAATGGAGGAACCTTACTTTTTCTATATACACTCATTGCGTTAGTATTCATTAATGGACATTGTATACACACTGTCAACTCGCACGTCATGTCAGCAGCTGACAGCAACATGGCTACCGAGTAAAGCGAAAAGCCTTCAAAGAGACAGGTACTAACTGACAGGAGGTTGCGCGCTTGAGAGCTTAATAATTAAGCGCCTTTCATTGTCCACAACTTTCCTTAAAAAAAAATTCTACTGATTTATTATTTTACAATATTACAATATTTACCGAAAACCTTAAAAAATGTTATATACAATGTCAAATTTCGATTGTTTATTAAATTATTGTTAATTAAATACATGAGTTGGAGATATTTTCGAGTACTTTTGTTAAATAAAGAATTCTCTTCTATTTTTGTAAAGAAGAAAAAGTTTTAGAAACGTGAAAGCGATGAAAGTAGGAGTTTCGAAATAATTCAGATGGAACGTGATTTTTCCCCCGAAATGAACGCTTTTGAGTCTTCGCAGGGAAGATGAAGAAACTAAAGTAAAAGTCATCATAGGGCAACTATAAATTGCCCTTGCTATCGTCGAGCAGTTAATTAGTCTTGGACACCGCCCCCTAAAGACTCGAGAATGCTCGAGAAGTGCCACGCTGTCTGTCCGTCCTTATACCTACCAACAAGCGCGGTTTCAACTGTAATTATACGCAAACTCGTAATCAAATTTCAGTTATTATGTAACTAATTGTAATTTTCCTTATGTAAACTATGATTTTTAAACTATTCCTATGTCCTATCCAATAGGAATAGTTTCTTACATAAGGCTAAAATTATTATAACATATGGCTTATACTTACATTATTTGGAAGTATCAACTAAAGATACATTCGTTTTTCATGATTGGTAAGATTTTTTGTAATATAGATATATTTTCTCTATTTTTTGTTGCGCTGCATAGAGGCATAAATATCTTAACAGGGCGGTCTTAAAACGACAGTGTTTTCTCAGGCTCGTTCTGTCGGATATTAGCGGGTCGGTGTTTTTTTAAGCTGTGGACCCACTTCCTTATTGCCGTGTCCGGACAGTATATCCTTGGTGCCACGCTGTCTGCCGAGACTATATTTTGGTGTCCTATAACTATTTCCATATATTCCCGTTTTCACTAGAAACAAACCCTCGCTTACATGTCTACTCAATAAATTAAGTTTTCACACCAGTAAAACGAAAGCAAACATTTTCAAAGAAAAATCTCGAAGCTTAATAAGCGTGCACTTTAAATATATTCCAGAGCGCATAAGAAGTTACATATATTTATACTTTAATGACATGTTGAACTAATGTAAATATATGTTAAACTTAGTTCCTTGTTCAGTTACTAATTATGTACATCAATTTCACGAGATAAGAGACATACGTTCGACGCTCAATTTGTCAATTAAGTAGAGAGAGAAACCATTCAATTATTTTATATAAATTATAGTGAAAAATATGAGAAAAATCTAGTTTTCATTCCGAATTTGAATGACGTGGGACATAATAAATATGTTGAGGCATTGAAATGTAAATCAAGCGGTAATTAAAATTAGCGACGACTTCGCGCTAAACGGTCGCTTACATTTATCCATCCGCAGGTCTTTGATGAATTTTCGCGAGAACTTGAGTTTAGCATTGGGCCCTGACGTTTACGCATATCCGTTGTCGCGTAGCTTTGATCTTCCACTCACTATCGACGGCATATATTCTGCTCGCGATTTCTCATTCCCCTTCGTCCTCGAGTTTTCTATATGTGATTTCTTCTCCGCCCTAGCTTCCGAACACGCACCATCCTGTTCCTCATATCCGTTTTCATTCTAGCGAAAACATCGCGCAAAAAGCCTCGAGAGTTCCTCTTCCTCTTCCACGAATGAGATTACAAATCTTCGTTCCTCGATTTTCTTTATATACAAGACCAGATTATACATTTATTTTCAAATGTAATATGCATTTAACGTCAGTGCGCTTGTATTTTTGATAAAAGTTACAAAATTTAAATGTACGTGCGGGTATGATGTCATTCTAACGTATACATATCTTCATTATTTAAAATTCATTGCTACAAATTTGTTTAAACTTTTATACTTTGTATATATGAATTTGATTATTATTGTCAAAATTGAATTTTATGAAAAATGTTCCTTTTTCATTTCACGAAGAAAGAAATTCATTTGATTGAAATAAACGGTCAATTACTGGGACAGTTTTTCTAAGGATGTCAAATTGAGACGAAAAACTAATCAAAACGTTTTTTGCCTCAATTTGACATCCTTAGAAAAACTGTGTGTCTATATTATTAAATAAATGAGGAGCAAGTTTTCAAAAGCTGATAAATTCATTATTTCAAAAAATCGAGATAAACATAAATGTTTATTTCTTATTATATATATTGTTCTCTAAATTTGAATTAGTTAACAATAATTAATTTGATAGTAAAAAATCAGTCACTGATTCAAATATAGTAAGTAAATATATTTTTAAAAATTATCGAATTCATAGAAATTTTGTGAAATTCAACTTTAAATAATAAAATTTATTAAAGAATTTTATTTAAATTTTTCGAAAATAATCAAGGGAAGTTAGTCACCGTAATTATAATTTTCTTTTTAAAAATTTCTTCGCAATGTATTCAATTATTTTCATAAATGATTTTATTTTATTTTATTAAAATTCATCGAAAGACTTTAATTATTTCTAGAAAGTGAAAAAAAATCTTCTCAAGAATTCAATTATTTCCATAAATAGCAACATTCTTCAGATTTACTAAATTCTTTTGAACATTATTTTTAAAAAATATTCTTTACAAGAATTCAATTATTTTCATAAATTTCCATACAATTCCAAAAAAACAATTCAATTATTTTCAAAAGTAATAAAATTCTTTACAGAAATTCAATAATAATTATTAGTATCAATACATTTTAATAAAATTGAATTAATCAAATTTTCAATTATGATTATAAAAAGACAAGATTATTTTCCAAATTTTAAATTAAAATTATTAAAAAAAAACATTATTTTCAAAAAATTTAAAGAAACTTGTCAAAAGAATTTAATAATTCATAAAAACTCTAATAAAAAATTTGGAAGCCATTTGTAGATTTATTTATGTTCGAAATCAGATAAATTTAAATTTGATGAGAAAAAAAACCGGGAATTTTGTTGAACGAAAATAGTATAGACACCCTGCTCAAATATTTATTATAGTTTTTAGTTAATTCAATTAAAATAAGTTTTTACTTCAAAAACTGAAATTTTTGTCCAAATAGGTATAATATTTTTGATTCAAAGAAATATTTGAGAATAGACACTTGTCTATTCTAATTGGTTATTTAAGTAGAACAAAAATTGTTTTTAGTACATAATAATTATATTCTTAAATACATTAAGTCTTAAAATGAAATATTCCGCGTTGTTTGGATAATAATAATTTATTTAAAATTTTATTCGTTTAGGAAATTGAAAATCTGCCATTTATTGGAATTGAGGGAAAATTAGTGAAAAGGACCGTCATGCGTCAGAAAGAGTAGAGCGGAAGAGAAAAAACAAGATTTGCTCTCGACATAACTGCATAAGAACCAATAAGAACAATTTGAAGCAAGTTCCGATGGACTCCAACAGCGATTTCTTGCCTTCCTATCGGATTAACTGGTGGCGCCATTTGAACAGAATAATAATCTGACGTTAATCTAGTCTTCAGCACCTTTTCAGTTTTCACTTTTGTACCAGAAACTGAAAATTTTTCCTAACTTTGAGAGCAGTGAGTTTTTAACCTTTCAGTGAATTTTTGGGAATATCCGGGTTACTCGGGCCACAGCACGTATGGGGAGAACCAGAGAGAGAATTTTCGAAGCCAACACATTTTTCTGTGTCAATCCCTAACTTTGACGTTTTTTCCCCCTCTTCGATTCCGCTCTGCTGTTTTATCTTTCTTTTTCTACCTCGACTCTTCCTTGTTTCTTGCCTTTTTCTCTCTCGACTTCCTTGTAAGTCTTTCCAGATGGCCGAGTTCTCGCAGATTCGCTGAGCTCCTATTTTTCCCATCAGGTACACTTGGATCTTTAAGGTTTAAGCCGAAACAAATGTTCCACAGGCGGATGTTTCTTCTTCAGTGTATGCTTTTGTTATTCCCTTTTGGGGTTTTAGATTCTGGAATTTCAAATTGTCCGAGATAAATTCTTTTAGATTCTTTCTCTTCCGTATTGTTTCAGCGAGTGCTCGAGAAGTGCACTAGAAATTGTCAAACATTTTTTAAGAAAAAAAAAAAAAAAGAAAAGAGGCCGATAATGTTATGAAACGGAAATAATTTTACACATTTTATAGAAATTATAATCTACTTTTGTAGATTATAACGCCTGATTGCAAGCAACCATATTTACACGACTTTAAATTAAATCAAATTAATCTTATATATATTTAGAAAGATTTTACCTCATATCTTATTTTTAAGATTGCTGTGAAGATTGCTGTGTTTATCTTAAAGAAAAATTTTATAATAATCATAAATAATTTACAATTTTCAAAAAATGTGCGTACTATAGAAAATTAAAGGAGTAAAATTACCGATGAGTTAAAAATATACTCCAAAGTGAGTTACAAATAGAAGTGAAGAAAAGAGTTAATTAACTCCTGTGGAAATTATTAATTATTCCGGCGGTTATATATTTATTGAAGGACTTAAAAAAGAGTCTATTATGCTGTTATTTTGATTTTTCATTATTTCTTTTGTTATTACTCAAAAAATGTAAAAAAAATAATCATTTATGTATGTGGATAATCTTTATCACCAGAAGTATGAATAAATTACACATATAGAAAAATGACAGTATCAAGTATATAATTTGTATCAAATGTGTATTTGATAATTACATGAATACAGATATTTTTACTTTCATCTAAAAATGAAATAAACTTTCTATTACCTATAAGAGTTGAATGGATTAAAAATTAGATAGAAAAGAATTGCACAATATAATACTTGAGACTTGCCGTCTCTTTCATTTTTCATTAAATTTTAGTTTACGCTGAGCTGTGCTGGAGTTTGCATTTGACTTTTAACTCATGCAATTATTCCTTGCTTTACTTATGTGAAAGCATTTTGTTTCACTGAAATAAATATCTCGTGTATTAAATAAATTCCACAATGATATTTAAAATTGATAAAGGATTAATAAATATACTGGTTTTAAGTTGGGGTTTCATGTTCACATTTTCTTCATTTCAAACGATGAGCAACACACAAGTAAGTTTTGAGAAATTATTCTTTTTTTTTTTAAATCAAAAATAATTTATTAGAAATTATAAGAATCTATAAATCTATCAGTTTTTAAATATTAAAATTTTTTGAAACATTCTATTATTGTGTTATCAAGTTCCAAATGTTGAACGTTTCAAAGATCATCATTGGATATAAAAGAAATTAATATACTTGATTATAAAATTTATATTAAAACAAATGTCATATGAAATGAATGAGGTAAATAATAATCTGAAATGAATATTTATGTACATTAATTATTGATATTATCGTGAAGATAATAAGTTATTATTATTAATTTATGAAAAATAATATATAGAAATTTTGTAATATAGGGATTTTGAATAAAAGTTTACCCTCGTGAAAAATGTTTGTTAATAAAAATATTTGTTTCTTATAAAAAATCTAGGTATCGTTTAAGTTACACGCGATAGTTACTAGGATAGAAATTAAAATCGTTAACCTTAACCCCGTTTTGCACTAACACTCAAGAATTACTTTTCATTGTCCTCAGAAAATGAGTTTACGTTCACCGACTAAGTATGATCTTTTTGCATTTAAACCGCATTATTATTAAAGTAATTAAATTTGTAAGCCTGCTTCCTGTAATGAAATAATTGTTGCACTTTTAGTAAATACAAATAATTGGTCAGATTAGAGAAATTTCGAAAAAATTGTTTCCTCTCTTTAATTGTTAATTAAAGAGAAATTAATATTTCAGAAAAATTTGCTGGACGCAGTTGAGAAAGATAAACCACATTTCACAGGAGATGGGTACGTGAGTCTGGCGATTGTCTTCGTAGTTTTTGGCATGGCACTGTTTTTTTCGCCAATGTACGGCACTCTGATAAGCACTAAGTTGTCACTGTTTCTCGGAGCCTTGTGCAATTTAGTGTTCACTGTGATATTTTTTTGGCCGGAAAGGACTTTACTTTACGTAGGGTCAGCGATTCAGGGAGTTGGAAATGCTCTAATGTGGGTTAGCTCGGGTCGAGCACTGACAGAAAACAGCAAACCTGCAACTATTTCTCGCAATGCCGGTATTTTCTGGGCTACTTTTCAACTATCTTTAGTTACTGGAAACCTGTTTGTCTACTTCACATTCACTGGGAAATCTTTCGACGAAACAACAAGAAAAACAATTCTAGTGACACTCACTGTACTTTCGACAATTGGATGTTCAATTTTTATTGGTTTTAAAGTCCCTCCAATAGTTCCTCCAATAGTGGAGCCCGCTGAAAAAAACTTCAAGGTGGAGGATGAAAAAATAAACGATTGTTCATTAAGTTCAGCGTGGCTTCGAATGAAAAATGCCGCATTACTTGTTTTTACTAAAAACATGATGTTGCTTTCGATTCCCTTTCTGTACACTGGCCTGATTATCGCTTTTTACACGGGTGTTTACACTTCAGTCGTAGGTTTTACCGTCAAATTGGGAGATATTCGCAAAAGGCTTGTGAATCTAACGGGAGTTGCCATTGGCATTGGAGCGGCAGTTGGTGCAACTTTCTCAGGTTCCATGGCACCAAAATTGAAAATCTGTTCAAATTCTCTAATTCTTGTGTTTGGGTTTTCGGCGCAAATTGTTTGCTTCATAATTACGTATTTAAATTTTCCAAACAATGCTCCGTTCGAGGTGATTGTAAACTTTTAATACCATTATTATTGCATAGCAAGAAGAATTCTTTTTCAGCGCTAAATGTGTGTATAAATTGTAGGACACTGAGGACATTGGAGTGATCGCACCAATGCCCGTTTTGGCCATAGTTGGAGGCTTTTTCCTCGGCTTTGGTGACTCTTGCATCAACATACAAATCTACAATACTCTCGGAACCATTTATAAAGAAGACATTGCACCGGCTTTTGCTTTCTTCTGCTTTTGTCAATCTATAACGGTCACATTGAGCTTTATAAGTAGCAACTATATTGGATTACATATACAGCTCATTATTTTTATAATAGTTGGAATTCTTGGAATTGGATGTTTTATTTTTGTCAATTTGAGAAATATGCCGATTCACGATGATACAACAACTGCAGAAAAGTACATTGAAAAAAATAGCAGTAAGGTATGATTTAGGAGCATATGCAACTCATTTTTAAAAGTCTATCGATTTACTTTACGAAAAATTGTGTTGCACTTTAATTGAAGTCAATTTTATTTTAGTACAGCACTGTACTAAAATGTGAACAAATTTTGTTCACTGCAAACTTAAACAGTTAAGAGAAAGCAGAAATTCAAAAAACAATGTAATTAATTAAACTATTTATTAACTATTAATACTTGTTTTTTTTAAGTTTTATCTGGCTTTTTTTATAGGTAATATTATTTTGATTTTTATTTCATTCATAGATACCGCAGTATTCTCAAATTTCTTGTCATTATTCATAGTATTATTTATCATAATTGTGACTGCTAGCATGTAACAAATTATAGTTTTAACATAAAAATATATAAATCATAACAATAAACAGTTTATTGTTATTTAATTGTTTAAAATGTGCAGCAAACATTCAAAAAGATTTTTTTTCATAAATGGCAAGTTTGCTATATAGTATAGGAAAAATTTCCTGAAAAATAATGCGTTATATGGGATATAAGTGCTTGTAAACAAATGTGTTTTCAATATAATATAAGATTTGAACAATTAGTTAAACGGTGCATATTAGTAGAAGATATTGGCAAACTTCAATATTGATTCAGAAAATAATATATATATCCGAAACCTGCGGAGCAAGGGATCCAACAGTCATTGTTTTTATTTAGTCTGGGATAAAGCATTTAAGAATCTCTCAGTTAGTAAAGGTATCAATTACATTTTTCAAATTCTCGTACTTCTCATTTTATTTGCTTTTTAAGCTTCTGAAGCAAACAAAAACTAATAAAAATTCTTTACCATCATCTTGTTTTCAAACTGACAGCACTTTTTTTAAACTTGTTTTTACTCAATACATTTTTATTAAGAAGGTAAAAAGTAGGTCATTCTTATAATGTGATTTTCATTTATTTTAAAATTTTCGCATAACAAACAAATGAGAAAAATTGAAAATATCTTCAATCATTTATCGTTTCGTGTTCGCTGACAAAAGAAATAAAATAAAAGTAATATATTTCTTAATTCGCACAGTGTTTGTCTAATTGTTTTAATTACTCCTTATAGATGCAGTAGTGTTAAAAACAAAAATTTCTAAAAGTTTTCAATTCTAACTCTGTTGGATTTTCTTTGTACTAATATTGTATTTCAAGTTTTACCCGCGCATGATGTCAATGAATAAAGCAGGAACCTTTTCTGAACATCATTTACTACACCATGGTAATGGAAGTATTCTATTTTATCAGTATATTGTTAATTTAGTTTTTACAATTTAAACTTTATACAAAAACTTATTTTTTATGTTTTTAAATAATTGATACAATTTACTTTCCTAATTTTTTTTACTGCATTGTGGGAAATTTCTTTTTTATCGACTGCAGAACCACAGTCACGATGACATCTACAGAATATTTTAGAAATTATTAATTTTGGTACAGAAGAAATTAATTTTCTCTTACCTTAAATAGGTAATTAGTTATTTAAGGTCATTACCTATTTAAGGTAAATCATCAGTAGGTGTAAATTTGTGCATAAAATTGCACTAATCTTATCAACCTGTTCAATAAAAACAAACAACATGCACATAACAATTACATGATTTGTATAAGCTGAAATTTCACACTAGTGTTGTATGTACACACTAATGTTTTTTGATCCCATAACATAACAAGAATTTTCAAGATACCTCTGAGATATGTATGCTGAGTCGCCTGATATACTGTACCATTTTAAAATTTAATTACGATTGGTTTAATTAAAGATAATTAGAGACTAATTAATTTACATAGATTAACAACCTGTAGGTAATATAAATATTGTCTCACAGTAAAAAGAAAATCTCATCTTAAGGATAAGTCTTAAATGAAGGTGCAAAATTTTTAAGATGCAAGGGATTTTTGAAGACTTTACACGCAAGCAAAGAGTGCTGCATTTAAGACTGATCTTAAATTAAGAATTTTTACTGTGTAACAAACATTTTTTTAATGCAACAATTTTTAAGAAGGTGGCAGAAAAATGTTGATACTCTGTTCTCATTGGACGTGTGAAGCAGATGGTTCACGTCCGCGACGTATTTATAAACAGTGAAATTATTGTCCACAAACTTGTCTGTTTTTTATGGAAAAGCAGGTCGATTTATTCTCTTCGATTAAGAGAAAAACGGTCATTGAAATGGGCTGGAGGCAAGAGTTAAGATTTACGATTTCCGGTACCAACAGGTTCCAAGAAAATGGCGACTACTTCATTATTAAAATACTTTTATAGAATCTTTTTTTAATTGTAAAAATTATACAGCAGCTTTAAATATCTCTTTAATTACAGTTAATTTATTAATTTTCTTAAATTTACGGATAAGTAAAGAATGGTGTAAATTTCTCCTTTATCTCAATTCTGCATTATGGAAATAGTAGAATATTGTGGAAAATTGTGAAATTTTGAAGGTATGTTTTTTAATTATTGCCAAACCGCAATGCACGTTTAATATTGTCGGTTTTTCGTTCTATTTCCGTAGTGTAGAATCATTTAACAAACGGTAGTTAATTCTTAACGACGCCGTTAAGATGATGAACCGTCAAGATGGCCGCAGCTGCGCTTTCCCTTGTTCCCAATCAGCAGAAACACGATGGCGGAGTGTACCACGTGAGCGAATTAATTCACTTTGATCAACCTTCGCGAGTATTTTTGGTCCAATATTAATCCATCGTCCTTGACATAACAGTTATGCATATATACTTAAATTTAAAGTCCAATTTTTAGGGCATACATGGACATATATACAAAAGAAGGAAAAATATGTTTAATTTGAGAAACATTAACCGATTTCTTCATGTTAAAAGCCAGGCTTTCAAATAATATGTAGAGAATTTTCAAAAGAATACAACTGTTAACGACTTACAATAAATTATGGTGAGCATTTGGTTTTGAACTTTTTGGACCTTATCATAAAAAAGTAAGAGGTTTTTCAGATGGTCCTGGTTCTGCTCCTGTTTATTGTGATCTATCAACGTGTAGTAATTTGGGACACATTTTTCAGCTTCTCAAGGGGTCATGTCGAGCCAACCCCTTAGAAAACAGTAGTCGAAATCTAAACATTAAAACATTGGATTAAGTGGAGCGAATAAACAACTTGTTCCCGTACGATTTAACTCTTTATAATTTAACTTGTTAGGCAACATCTCGTTTTTTTTCTAACATCTATTACAATATTTTTTTGATATTTGTCTGTTTTTTGCAATTAAAAATCGAACTCGTGAATCAACTTTTCAGCATTCCTTGCAACTATATATGTATAATAATAAATGTTGAATATGTATCCGTTTATCATTAAATATCGTCCCTTGACTTATTTGGATTTCAAATTTTTTGGTGCAAACAGCGAACTTTAGAAATACGAGCATTTAATCGAAAGTCTTGTTCGCAAACGCGAGCAAATTGTACGTTTCCAAAATAGCATCATGAACGTATAAACATATCTTATTTTGAGATCAAGTTAAGCTATCTTGCTCTTATTTTCTTCTTAACGCACTTTTCATCTTTGTCTTTCACTGACGCAAAAGAAACATTTTCCAGACCTATATGCCTGATTGAACTGCAAGAATCTGGAAACAATTTTATGGACTTTACGACTTCTAATCATTCATATAAAAAATATCTTTAAAAAATAGATCATTATTATTTTACTCCAACTTAATGTTGAATTAAAAACTTTTTATTGGTGTGCCCATTGTAAATTTATTCTCTCAGAAAAAATGGTATATTATAAGAAATATTAGTTATTATAAGTGTATATGCTTGCGGTACGAAACAAATTTTTGTTTATAGTAATGCACTTATTTTGTTGATGATTCATACAAAAGGTTCTTCCAAACAAAAGGCATATATACATTAACAACTTATTACATACATTGATTTCGGATAACAAATTTTTATTATCGTATATTTCGTACCATTAAGGACAAATGATTTACAATATAAAACAATTTTTAACATGAAATTAAAACATGGGCATGATCAGTGGTATAAAATTACTGTATCATGTAAACAGAGAAACTTGGCGGCGCGTGTGATCCCCGCTTGGGTGGCCCCTCGTTTTCAGTCAAGACCGAGATCACGTGCTCTCCAGAAGTAAAATTTTATTCTTTCTTACTCTCTCACTTGATTTACTTCAAGTGAAATGGCAACCCTTATCTTTTTACAAAGAAAAACTTGAATCTTTGAAAACATTTTTTGTTTCCTCAGCGAAATATTTTGCAATTGCACATGTAATGTTAATTTCATAAAATGCGCTATTAAGATTATTAAAAACCGAAACAATAAAATAAATGAAAAAAACTTTCCCATCAAGTTCATTTGTTGAAATGTAGAGAAATTTATTACAAGGGTTTGCTTGCTGTATCAGATATGAAGTGTGGTAAGAATTATTATACTCGACAGTATACATTTTCATAGCTTCTAAAGGGTGGTCTATGTTATGTGAATAAAAACTAACTGCTCCTCTCATCATTATTAATATGCATGTATAATGAAAGCAGTGCGACTTTTCTTGTCCTCTCTAAAGAAACCAGCTTTCTTTTTACCACTTGAAAGAAATGTGAACCTCTTATAAAACTATAAATCTAATTAACATCGAAATAATATTTTATTTTATTTAAATAATAAGTGTATTTCTCACGTGATTCGTCATCTCGAACACGCATTATTATCATATTTTCAAATTTTTATTTTTGCCAATTTTATTCCAATTAAATAAGTTGCATTATAAAAGAAGAATAATAAAAAATATTAATTTCATACAAAATTTAGATATTATTTTTTTTTTAACTTTTTCTATACATATTAATTTAAAAACTAAATCTAAAGATGAAATGTATGATTGAAATATTCGGTGAATAACCTTTTCATCACTTTTCTCTTCCTCTCTATGGTCAATATTCCATGGGACGGTCTCTTATCAATCGAGACTTGCTTTATTATAATCAATGAGATCAGGAATGTTTATATTTCCAGACGCATGACTGATGATGCGTGCTCAGTTTCACTCGACATAAGAGAAAAAGTATCTTCAACTTTTTTCAATTTTTTGTTTTTAAAAAATTATGTTTAACTTTATTAAAAAATATCAAATTAATGCTACACGTGGAACCTGATGTTCCATTTATTATTATGCAAATTACAAAATATTTTATTTTTAAATATGAATTTTTTAATAATTTCAGATTCAAACTTTAAAAAAATTCAATTATTAACTAATTTACCAATTAATTATTCTTGTTTATTAATTTCAAAAATTTTAATATAATTCTTCGCAAGAATTCAATATTATTTTTATAAATAGTAGAATTTTTTGTAGGAATTCAATTACTTTCAATTTTTCAAAACAATTTTAATCGAATTCCTCGGATGAACTCAAATATTTTCAAATATTTCCATAAAATTAAATTATTTCCTAAAAATTTAATAAATTCTTCGAAAAAATTCAACTAATTTTATGAATACTAAAATTCTTTGCAGGAATTAAATTATTTTTAATCCAATATAATTAAAATTACACGAAAGAATTTAATTAAAATTTACAAAAATTTCCATAAAATTCAAGTTTATCAAGAATTTAAAATCCTCTAAAAATAATTTATTATTCTCAAAATTTTGAAACAAATTTTATATAAAAAATTAATTACTTTTAATGCAATTTTTAAATACATTCATCAAAAAAATTGAAAGAATTCAATTATTTTAAATATACTTAACTTTAATAAAATTTTTTACAGAAATTAAATTATTTTCGAAAAAACTGTAATTGAATTTATCGAAAGAATTTAATTATTTTCGAAAATTTCTATAAAATTCTTAAAAACAATTAAATTATTTCCTAAGATTTTAATAAATTCTTCGAAACATTTCAATTATTTTTATAAATAGTAAAATTATTTGCAAGAATTAAATTATTTTTAATTTTATAAATAGTAAAATTCTTTGCAGAAATTCAATTCTTTTCTTAAAAATTTTAATTAATTGGAAAGAAATTAATTATTCTCAAATATTTATATAAAATTAATTCATTTCCTAAAATTTTAATAAATTCTTCGGAACAATTCAATTATTTTTATAAATAGTAAAATTATTTGCAAGAATTAAATTATTTTATGCATAAATAATAAAATTCTTCTCAGGAATTCAATTATTTTCAATACAATTTTAATTAAATTCTTCTTCATAAAATTCAATTGCTTTCAAAATTTTCAATTAAAATTATTAAAAAAAGCTCTATTATTTTAAAAAAAAACAAAGAAATTCTTCAAAAGAATTTAATTAGTATTTTTAAGAATTTTAATAAAATTCTTCGCGAGAATTCAATTATTTTCTTCAAATTTTTTGATAAGATTCATTGCAAGAATTTAATGATTTTCAGTACATTAATTTTAAAAAGTTTTTTTTTTTTATTTTACTTTTGATTAACTAACTTTTGGAGAAGATTTTTAACTTGAAAAAATTTAGTCTCAACTCTTGCTGTCGCTTTTACTCCCTAAACAAAATATTTGTTTAAATGTATAACAATGCATTCAATTTATTGTTCCGAAAAAAATTTTCTGTGCGATAGCAATAAGTGTATTAATAGAGCTATAATTTATTGTTAGAAAAATCCGTATGAAATTTAATAAATTAAAAAATTTAATTTATATGAAGCAAATATGCAAATCTTTGTAGGTGCAATTTTAAAATTCCCACCAGTAATTTTTACTATACTGATATCAAATTGAGACTGAAATTTGTCTCTATTTAATATCCTTAGAAAAACTGTGCAACAATAAAATTTTTCTATTTTTTCCTTAAAATTAAAAACTTATCGCTTATGGTGCTTCTTTAGTTGTTGCAATATCAGAACCATTGAATACAATTGCTAATTAAATTTGAATAAATGAAAAATGTATCACCTTCAATGATCCTAGAACCCTTGTAAACCTGATTTCCAGTAGATCAATTCAGGATTGGCTATTTGAGTACCAATAGTTTGGCTCCCTTCTATTTTTATCCAATTTCAACTCCACCCACTTGATGTGAACGCCCATGTGTTTCACGCCTACCAGTAAAGAATCAGTGATGCATTGGTCACGAACAGTTGATTCTGCTTCCCACTAACCCATCTAACCCTAACTTTCAGTCGATCGAAGCACTTATACGAAAAAGCATCTTGTCCCGGAGAATTCATTTGAAAATATACAATTTACAATCAGTGCGAAAATAATTTATTTTTGTGTCATCAATGAAATGAATCATCATTGTTTGGTATACCAAAGTGTTAAGAAGATCTCGCACTGCTATCAGTGTGGTCAGTAAATGAATGCAATGTTTCACGAAAAGGATTGTGAGCACGATTTAGTGATGATGTTGAATAATTGATGGAAATTGATATTTAACTTACCATGAAAAACGAATCAGATACAGCATCAGCTATTCAGCATCAGATTGCGGCATCAACGGGGATTCATCACCATTTGCACTCGGTGACAAGTAGAAGCAACATAAGTTCAATGATGTCGCCCTTGAGTCAGTCGCAAGCGATGGACTCACTGCTGTCGAGCTCGAATAGTGACTCTCCCAGGAAGGCTGGTACCAGGCGGCAGGAGAAGCCACCGTACTCGTACATTGCTCTGATAGTGATGGCCATTCAATCCAGTCCGGGGAAGAGGCTTACCCTCTCGGAGATCTACACTTTCCTGCAGCAGCGATTCGCCTTCTTCCGAGGAGCCTACCAGGGCTGGAAGAACTCGGTGAGGCACAACCTGAGCCTGAATGAATGCTTCATCAAGCTACCGAAGGGTCTCGGAAGACCCGGCAAAGGTCACTACTGGACCATAGATCCGGCCAGTGAGTACATGTTCGAGGAAGGGAGCTTCCGCAGGCGACCACGTGGCTTCAGAAGAAAATGTCAAGCTCTCAAGCCTCAGTACCACTCTCAGTACTTTCCAAACACTGTGCCCGTGAGTGTCGGCGTTCAGGGTTCGGGTTATGAAAACCTCCCCCCTGGTGTCGACTACACCAACAGCTATCAGAACCAGTATCAAAACTACCCAGAGTGGTACGGATCCACCGCACCCATTCCTTCCGACTGGGGGTACCCAGAGGCTACCTACAAGACGCCGCCGATCGCCGAGGTCACTTACAAGACAACGGAAGTTACCTACAAAACTGGGGAGACCTCTCACTACAGAAATGGCGAGCTGACATTTAAAAATGATCCAAGTTTCAGTAGGGTTCAAGATCACAATCAACTGTACAGACCATCTGACAGCTTTCAACCAGTTCTCAAAGATCACCATCACTCTCAGCAGCAGCAGCAACAACAACAGCAACAACATTTGTCACAACCTCTTCATCAGGAAGTTGGATTTAAGGTGGAGAACGAGCACGATGGATTGATAACGTCTTATAAAACTGATCCTGGCAGTTCGAGTCCCTTGAGTTCTCAAAGTCAGAACAACAGTCAAGATTATTATGCATCAGGGTATGCTCTGGCTGCTGGTGCAGGGAATATTAATTTAAACACCACCATTCAGAGTCTTTCAACTCAACCTAGTTCCACGAGTTCCGTCGGAAATGTCAACTCTGTCCACATTGGATGCCACACGCCTGTCACTGATCAAGGTAAATAATCTCATTCGTCACTTTATCTATACTTTAATCCTTATTAACACAGCTTTTCTAAGGATATCAAATTGAGACAAAAAACGAATCAAAACTCAATTTGATATCCTTAGAACTTTACACACTTTTCTATAAGTATACTTTAATCCTTAAATACAGTTTTTCTATATGGATATGAAATTGAGATAAAAAACGAATCAAAACGTTGCTTCGCAACACTTTTGATTCGTTTTTTGTTTCAATTTGATCTTCTTAGAAAAGCTGTGATAAGATCCAGAAGCATTTTCAATAAATTGTTATCCAAAATTTTAATCATTATATTTCTGAGCATATACTCACATCACTGTTAACTTAAAAGTATCAAATTACAACGAATTGATACCAAAAATATAGATCAAATCAAATATTGATCAAAATGTTTGGCATCAATTTGTTTCCCTTTAGTATCATTTTGATACTTTCAAAATAACTGTGATATCATTCAAAATTATGAAAATCTTTGAGAGAGTATCGATCTGGCTTCAATTTCAAATTTTCAAGTGCCGTGTAATCGTGTTTTAGTGGTTGCAATTCAACAATGTTTGCTGCATAAATAAATATTTGACTGATAAAAATAATTTATAGGTAAATCTTGAGAAAATTACTGAAAGTTATTAAAACATTAATTTTTACACGAAGAAAACTGGAGTGTTAAATTTCGAATGTTAAAAATTTATTTAGTCATTCTAATCTTCTTCATAATATTACTTACACTTTACTATATTTTTTCCTTCGTAAAAGTTACACATATTTTATTATTTGTTTTACACTCCAGGAAATTTAAACTAATCAGTTTTTTAGTTGAAGTAACTAACCGCAAATGCAGCTAAAAAATGAACATCGATAAATAAATTTTGACGTTTAAAAATATGGGTTATTGTTTATTTGTGATTTATTTCTGTGGATGTTATAAAATAATAATCTCTATTGAAACAAAATTTAAATTAATTAAAATGTTCAATATTTTAATTATTTTTCTTTTCAACAAAAATTTTTTTTTTAAAGAATTATTACTAAAAAGACTAAATGAATTCTGAAACTCTTTTATTGACTGAAAAGTTAAAAACTACTTAAAAAAATCAAAAATGTTCTGCGATTTAAAATTTTTATTATCTAAGTTAAATATTTTTAATTGTTTAAATAAATTTTTTACAAATAAAAGTTTATTTTTAAAAATCTAATTAAACAGACAAAATAAAGTACTACACATTCCTGGAGTGTAAAACTAATTACGTTTATTTTACACTATATAAATAGTAATTTATAAACAACAGAGTGTTGTCCTATAGTTGACACTGAAAATTTGTCAAGTTTTAAAATCCTCAGGGTAAATTTAAATATCCTTTTTTCTCCGTGTAGGTTTATAATGCAAAAAAGAAATATAATAAAGTTCTAATCATATAATGTAGAATTTTACTAAATAAATAAGTTATGTTAGATTTCGTGTCATAAAAACACAAACACGTGGTCAGCTTTAATAGTATAATACACAATTTTCCCAGACGATTTATGGGCTTTCGGCGCCGACACTTGTAACATGAAACTGTCTCCATATTGTACAAGTATATATTTCTCTAAAATTCAAACTTTTCAAAAACTATACATCTCTATAAACATTTGACTATTCTTTTTATGGATAAAAATAAATTTTTTAAATTTCCACCGATTTTTTGTGCAAGACATAATAGAAGCTAATTATTTCACTTACTTATGAAATGTTCATAATTATTTTAAAAAGGAATATAAAACTTATGAAAATCGTGCACAAAATTTGCTTCTTAGAATTGAGAAAAAAATTCCTAGAGAGTAATTCTTATAATGATAGAATTACTGGTTAAAAGCAATTTGTCAGGCTTAAACTGTTAATGCGTTGATGATGTTGTGACAATTCAGCTGAACCCCTGGTCGTAAGTTAATATCTTATGTTAACACATGTATCCATTTTGTCATCGACCACCTTGCAGTGTGACAAGTTTGAATAGTTTCCCCAAACACTCCTTTTATGTGCTTTTGAAAATCCGTTAAATGTATAATTTAAATATAAAATGTAACTGGCACGGCATTATATAACACTTTTAAATCTTGTTTTCTTTGATTAATAGTTACAATAAAGATTGTTACTCTTACTATTAATCAAAGAAAAAGTTGCAAATTTCAACATTGTAGTATACATACAATAATATGTGTATACAAACATATTGGAATTGATCTCCTGTTTAGTCATTCATTGAAAATGCGGAAGCAATGAATTTTATTCACTTTCGAATGTATCCCCGCGCATGATATAAGTGCTATCTTCAACCGTTTATTGTCCAAACATTTACTAATTCGATAAACGAGATGTTCTTCGACCTTATGGTAATAAAGCTAATGAACCATTAAAGTTCAAAACAGTCACAATTCACGTGACTATTTCAATAATAATAAATAAAAATAATTGTTAATATTTAGAAATTCAATTGGATCATTTGAGTTAAAAACTTTACTTTTCTGTATAAACTTAAATAACATCATTTCCTTTATTAATGTAACAGAGTAACATTACTTGTTTTCACTTCCATTTTTGTTCAAATAAAAATTATTTTACTTCACAATCTTTAGAAATTCATTTTTTTGTGCTCAGTTGGCAACAGTAATATAGGCACTGCAAAAAAAGTCGGAATATTTTGTTAATTTTTAAATTACAATTAATATTATTTCGTAATCCTGTTTAAATGAGATGAATTCGTTTTTTAATAATGCAATATATATTATTAAATTTGTTACTTTCTGCCTAAAAGACTATTTGATATAATGCCATGACATTTTTAAAATGGTGCATCCGATCAATTAATGATGAACCAACTAACGAAAGGGACAAAACTTTAAATCCGGGAGCAAGTACTTTTTTTATTTTTAGTTATTGACCGTGAGAGATTTTGACTGGCAGACGCGCCGCGGACCACACATGAGATCCCTCAAGAGAATCGTCAGATCCAGTCATGCTTGACTGTCACAGTCTCATAACTAGACTTCTGACATTTGATTTGTCATAAGAAATTTATGAAAAAAATTTCCCAACATATGCATTTCATTCTTGTGCATAAAATGTTAATCAGAGTAATCTGTATTTTCTTTAAATACATTTTATTTGTTTAAGTTTTCTCCTTTATAAAAAAATGACAGTGGCACTATTTTTCTTTTTGTTTGTTTTATTAAGTGAGCCACAACATTAGTGTTTTCTTTTTCGGTTAACATAGTTATTTTATACGATTAATCTTCCGCGTGGCCTGAACAAGAGAATAAGTGTGGAAATGAATTTGTTTAGGTGTTGACAGTAAAAAGTAAATCTTAATTTCTGCACTGTCTGTTTTTAAATTCTTCAAAATCCATAATCCATAATCCAAAACGTAAAATCAGCACTTGTTGTCTTAAAAATATTGCTTCTTAATTTTTGCTGCCTTTAAATAATAAGTCTATTTGTTTAAAGTTCTAAAGTTACAGTCATTTACGTGCATTTTTATTAAATTACTTTTAAAGAATAAAAGAAAGATCGTTTATCAGCATAAAAGAAAACGAAAATGTTAAAATTTCCAAGATTAAACGACTAATCTTTGTGTATGTAGAGAAGATGTAAAAATGAGCCACGAGTGAAGCACCCACTTGAAAACGAAACCCACTTGAAATCTGCCGGGCCGGACTCTTCAAATTTATTGTATACTTTTCATTTCGAGCGTCATTCAAATTTCCAAATTTTAATATTGGACGCTTTTTATTACTTGTGTGTATTTCTCTATTACTTTCCTTACCTTTAGAAAGAGAGAAAATGTTTAAATCTTACAAACAAAATGACTAATTTAATACTGAAAATTTTCAACACTTTTTCAGGTCTGAGAATGCAATGTACAACTTCGTGTACAAATAATTCTGGTGGAGGAATCGTGGAGAGAAAACCGTCCCATCTTGGACATCATTCTTTGCCTACTTCTTTGGGACATTTAGGATTAAGTAATATAGGACTGACTATACCAGGCACTAATTCCCACTCTTCCACCCCTCCTACTTCCATGTTTTATGATCACGTAAAATATGCCATGTAAAAAGCAGTGCAAACATAAAAGAGTCTAACACTAAGAAACATACACCAAAGAAAAATTATATGTATAAAATTAAGCCAAAAAGTTTGATTTTTAAAGAAATCGGTATCAAATTTTATATATAATTATATTCAATGCGTTACTATATTCTATTTCATTTCATCGTTTCATCAATATTTATAATGTAATCCTTTATTAATTTAGACTTATGTACATAGCATCTTAGCATCATTATCATCCTGTGACAAATAGGTATTCACACACTAAATTTCCTTTTAAACTTTAAGTCGTTTACGTGTGTGCAATATAATAAAATATTTTAATGAAGAAAATATGAGAAACTTTTATTTTAAACAACGTGTTTTAAAAGCGGTTTTTTCAAAAATCTGTACAAAAAAAAATTATTACAAGACATGTTGCTGACAGATTTCCTAAAGAATATTTGTTAATTTTTCAAGCCCTGCCATAAAACATTTTTCTTTTCCCTTTTGGTATATTTTCAATTTTACGACAGGATCAAAGCCCATCGTAAACATTTTTCCATTGTAAAGATTTTAAAGCAATGTATATCAAGCAACATGTGGTTTTTAAAACTCGAGAGAGAAACTGAAAATATTTTTATATATACACACATATATGATGTAAATATATAATTATACATATAATGATTAATAAATTATTTTTTATTTCCTTATTGTAATGAGTAATAATTATGAAAAGTATCAATAAAAAAGCAGACAGTAATTTAAAAATAACTGACTGGAGTTTCGGACTAATATTTCCTTTTTAAAAATCTAATACTTAGTGTAATAATAATTATATCCTCAAGTATGAGTTGTATGAGTATGAGTGAGCGGCATCTCAAATGACAAACAAAAATATAGTAAAGATACCTCTTATCACAATACTATAAACGAAACATTGTTAATTGAAACTTTTCGAAATTTAAATGAAAATATAGTTTGCACTTTAGCAGTGCCTAATTAATAAATCAAGTTAAAAACAAAAACAATAGAGTTTCTACGCAAAAAAACACTATTAAATTCAAAAAACATTTTAATATTATTAAAATTAAAGTTTCTATCAGTGAAACTGGAATTTCTGCACAAAACATTTAATTCGTTATATGGAATGTACGTTACGGCGTGTAAGCTGACGAGTTAAGTGCAAGATGACAAGTTAATGACTTTCTTCGACCAACTTTTTTGGGTAACTATTTTTTTCGTCTAACTTGAATTATTTTTAATTTGGAACTAAAATTTTTCAAGTTATCTGAGACAGATTTAAAATTAGGTATTATTTAACCTTTTTAAGAAAATAACAAATAAGCATATTATGCAAGTCTATTTAACTAATTCAAATACATTTACCACGTTTGTGTTTGAATTATTTACCAATAAAAAATAACACAAATATCCAAATTTTAAGCATATTTAATTTCTAGACCAAAATCATTTCATTATATAATTAAAATTTAAAAAAAAATTCAAAAACTTTGGGGTGATTTGCAATGTGTGAAGACGAAGGAAGGTTTCGCTCTATAATAACAAACAAAGAGATTAGACAGAGTTAGATGAATTCAAATGATTCGAGAAATACGTTAAACAGAATCCTTTACAAGTGTGGGAAAATGAAAATAGAATTAATTCTTATCAGTGTTTCAGATTAATCTAAATGTATTCGATTAAATCTGCCTAGCTTTTTAAAACTATTGGAACTTAATTTTTCTTGAAAATAAAACGAACTGTTTTTGCTCGTATGACGTCAAGTGAAAAAGAATAGTCCGATTATATGTATGTAGTTTATTTTTTTAACTTTGCATTTATTTGCTTAAGCGATAAAAGTGATTTTTGTTTACATACAAATTTTGATGTGATTAAGTAGATATTTTGAGAAAGTGGACAAGGATTATATAATAAGTGCACAATTATATTGTCACATTAATATCACGTGTGACATTCTCTTCGAATATAGTAAACAAATATCTTATTTTCTTTGTTTGTTTGATGAAACTTTCATTACAAGGTCAGGATTCCTACAGAAATCCGAATTTAAAATAATTCCATATCTTTTCCATGATTTCCAGGTCAAATTTTTACGAAATTCCAGTGGAATTTTAAATCTAATTTCACTATTTTTGGGCTCTTTAACACACTTTACTTATTTCATAGTCTCCAGCCTTTGGTAAAAATTCGAAAATTATCAAAATTTATCAAAAATTCGAAAAACCAATTTTTTTAAAATTCAACATTTTTTCTTCTCTTTTATGGGATTTAGTTTCATTATTTTTGTGCTTTTAGAAAATACTTTACCTATTAAATTGTCTCGACTCTTTGGTAAAAAAATCTAAATTATCAAAAATTCGAAAATCCGAATTTCTTAAAATTCAACATTTTCTCTCCTCTTTTATGGGATTTAGCTTCATTATTTTTGTGCTTTTGGAAAATACTTTACTTATTTAATAGTGTCGATTCTTGAGTAAAAAATTTAAAATTATCAAAAATTCAAAAATGTGAATTTCTTAAAATTGAACATTTTTTCCTCTCTTTTATGGGATTTAGCTTCATTATTTTTGTGCTTTTGGAAAATACTTTACTTATTTAATAGTGTCGACTCTTTGGTATAAAATTTAAAATTATCAAAAATTATCAAAAATCCGAAAAATCGTATTTCTTAAAATTCAACATTTTTTCTTATCTTTTATACCATTTAGCTTTATTATTATTTGAATTTCTATTCAAGAGAAAAATGTAAAACAAAAAATTTAGAAACTTTTAAAAATTCCAGGTCTTTTCCATGATTTCCCTGATTTCCAGAAGCCTTTTAAAAATTCCATACCATTTCCATGATTTCCATGATTTCCAGATTCTGTAGGAACCCTGTAAGGTTTCACTCTCTATAGAGACTATTCTCTATTTTGCACATATCACAATGGGATGGTAAAGTAAATTTCTCTCTAATTTTAGAAAAATTTTTTTATTTCGTTTATAATTTAAAAATTTTAATTAACGAATATTTTAATCGGAAAGTAAGATTTTATATTTAAAAAATTGTAAATTGTATATAAACATTTTCTTCTTAGAAAAATATAGGTATAAAAATTTTTGACATAATATTTATCAACATATAAGTCTCGATTTTATAATTGTATGTACATAAATTTTCCAAGTGAGTACTAAAAGTAGTTCGTCTTTTAACAGTGAATAATATATTATATAGTAATTTTTTCAGTCATCTTCTGCTATTATAACTGCATGCACCCTCAATTAATCAATCATATTTTTTTATTCGGTTTATACCGAATATTTTCAAACACAAAATCAATAGTATATATTTGAACTTCATTAATAAAAGTAAATTACGTATTTTCATGCTTTAAATTTGTTTTTAAAATTGTAAAAAGTTTTTTGTATAAAAAAAAAAAAAATGCAATTTATAATACTTATGACACGAGCCAACTGTTCATAAAATGAACACAAAAATATGAGCTTTAACTTAATAGAGGTTTTTGTGTCTTTTTTAAAATTTGAATAAAACAATAGATCCCAAGATCTAATGTTCGTTGTTCCGCCTATGAAATTCAGGAAAGAAATAAATAATTCTGAAAAAGCAAAAACGTACAATTATTGACAATGAAGAGTGTTCTTGAAAATAATTACTATATGTATGTATAAGATAATAATGCTTACAGTACTAGATATAAAACGGTAACTTGAGAACCAATTGTTAGCCAATAAATAGCACTGGGCATACTGTGTATAGTTGCATTGTACAATTGACTGTACATAACTCCACTGACTATTGGTACGGCATTATCAAAAACTGATAGTATGGAGAAAATTTTCCCTAAAAATAATTAAATACGATATTATTATTGAAAAACATTGTTTTACCTAATGATAATTTCATTACCTCTTTCTTCAGCTGGAACTTCTTTTGAAATCATTGATCTTAACACTGGAGCTACAATTGGTCCAAATGCTCCAAAAATAATGCCTAAAGTCAAATAATAAATACAAGCTTGTAACTTTATTCAACAACGATTACTTTTTATTTTTCTTGGAGGAACTCACCTACATAAAAGATAATTGGTTTTTTAGCAAGACTAAAAATTACTCTAGCTAAAGAATGAGATAGAGTGCCTATTACCACAATCCAAGTATCCTTCATTTTTAATACTCTACTCATTATTGGTACACCAAGCAGCATAGCTAAAATATTATCATAAAGGAAAATTTTTATATTCAACTTTTGTAATTAGATTAGAGACTATAAACTTTAATGATTACCTATAACAAAAAGAATTGACTGGAACATTCGAAAATGACTGAAATCCGCAACATTCCATTTGAACATAAGTTGAGTATACAAGAAGCTCATTGGTTTCTCATCCCTTTGAAATGCATAAAGTGACATACTTAAAAACAGAAGCCACAGACAAAGTCTGCCACTTGAATCTCGATGTTTTACTAAAGTTTTCAAAGTTTCAATGACATGTTTCTTGTCAAAAAAGTCTAGAAACACGTTGGTTCCTTTTATTGGCTGTTGTTTAACATCAGTTTGCCATTGTAGATTTAAAAAAGAATAAATAATTGCTAACACTATCAGGGACAAATTGATACTGAACATGATTGTGTAAGAATGATTAACAACTTTGTTAAATAAAAAAGAACCAAGGGCTATACCTATGGAAAAAGATAATGAAAATTGTTAGTTATACATGAAATAAAAAAGAATAAAATTAAAAAGGAAAAATGTACCCATAGGCATTGCACTCAAATATACGGCATCTAAAATAGTAATCCTAAAAGTTCTCTCTTCAACACTTGAGATATCAGAAATATAAGCGAAGCAAGCAGCAAAAATTGCAACGTCTGCCCCAAATACGGTGGATGGAATACTAGCAGTGTACATTATCATATTGATCTTCCATGATGACATTAGAGTGTTAATGACCATCATGAATGAGTAGATAAATTTGCCAAATAAACCGAGAATAAGAAGTAATTTTCTTCCTCGACGATCACTCCAATTGCCGGTAAAAAATGCTAAAATTATTGGCAATACATGAGAGGCTATTCCATTCCATTGATGAAATACCGATACAGTAAGCTGAAATATTACACACTTGTACTGTCCTCTTTCTATTCTCAAGATATTATTTTTAAGTATAAAATCGATCACTATTTTTCACTATACGTACTTGTACTTCAGTATTTATTGTTTCATTTGCTGTTATATTCCTACAGATTTCTTCACTAAGTCCATGATCTGTACGACAGGCTTTATAAACAAAGAAAGCTTGTTCAATTACAGAAGTAGTCATGAACGCCATCATGTAGAGCCACATTGTTGGCTCTACTGAAGTAAGTTTCACCACATTCTTACATTTTTCCAATACTTTCTCCATTATCTGTAACATTATTGTTTCGGTATAATCCAATTTGTGAATACTCAGACACCACGGTTGAAACATAGTGGCAAATTTTTATTGTTGCATCTGACTGGTATTATCCCTTCCGACCGCGCGTAGGGTGGATAGAACCCGATAGACAATCCGAACAAATGTTATAAATTCGTATTTATAAGAAGAATACAATTTTAAATTCGTTTTAGTAAAAGTGTACAGAATTTAATTGTCAACTTTTTGAACAATTTAAAGTTACATTAAAATAAAAATTGCAAATTTCCGTCAATTAGAAACGATTGAGGGGACTTGACCTTAACAAATATTTCTTATTGACAAAAAATTGTAATTTTTATTCAAATGCAACTTTTTTGAAAATGTATATTAATAAATACTCTCTAAATGTTAACTATCGAATTTTCACCACTAATTTCAAAAAGCGTAATATTCGCTAATTAATCAGTGAAATTTCACTAATTCACAGCGTATGTAATAAGCTATAGTTGAAATAAATGGTAAATATACTTATCGCCTTTTCAGATTTAGAGAGTAAATTTATTTCTTGTGCAAGATTTTAATTTTTATTGTTTTAAAGATTACATATTATCAAACATTTATATAGGTACATTCTAAAATTGAATCAATAAAATGTCGCTGATTTCAAGGGCGATTTTTCTTTGAATCAATTATTTTAACTATAATTTCCTACTCTCTAAATTGGAATACCTAAGTGAAATTTGACTGATTTTCAGTGACTCTATTCTCACGATTTAAATCAGTGAGAAATTTCATTGAAATTCAGTTAAAAATGATTGATATATCAGTTATTTTGCACTGAATTTTTTAATTGGCCAATTAGTCAAAATTGACTAATATTTTAGTAATTTTTAACTAATTTTCAGTGAAATTTTTACATATTCAGATTTAGAAAATAAGATATATGTAATAGGAAGGAAAAAAATTATAAACAAAATTTTTAGAAAACCAACTTGACTTCAGTAGTCCACCTATTATTAATTTTTGAATGTTTCAAATGCTTATTTTTATTAATTAAAAAAATCAACTTTGAAAAGTTTATGCATTTAAAAAATAACTATCAAGAAGATAGAAGATTATATATGCGGAGATTTTATTTTGTAACAAAAATCGCATACTGTGCAAAAGAAATGTAGATATAAATATACGCATGTATAAGTCCATGATGGAAACCACGTGAGTTCATTAGGAGGAAATATTGGAGGCAATTTTTTAAAAAAAATATTTTTAGTCTATTGTGTCTATATGACAATAAATATCAATGTTAAATTTTTTTCAAAATAATTAATAAATACGAATCACATTACATTAAGTACAATTCTGACAAACTTTTATGAATATATATATTTGATGTAGAAATATAAATTGAAGGTTATGTGCGAAAATTTTCTTTTGCCTTAAAATAATACTCATAGTTTAGTGTTAAAAAAAATAGATGCTAAAATATAACTTTAAAATTACTACTTACTTTTTTATTGTGTAACTTGATAAACTACTGACACTACAAGGATTTAAACATGTCTGTTACTTGCAAGATACTTGAATTAATTCTTATACTTTTTGAGGAAAATACAAAACTGGTTTTAGATCCAGACATCTAGTGCGATGTGAATGAACTGAGTACCGCCACATAAATAATGTTATCAGCTGTTATACATATGTATACTTTTTAAAAAATGTTTTCACTTAAAAAATAATTATAAAATAATGTACACTTCTCAACTTAATTATATTGATTTAATATTTTTCGTTTAAAATTAGATATTTCAAATCTAAATTACGACCTCTTAAAACAAAACGTAGGTTTAGATTAAACGTCAAATATACTCGAATTGTGATTAGGGTACTAAATATCATTATTGACATTCAAGATGATTACAAAATTAACTGGGGGATATCATATATCATTGAAAATTGTAGAAGACGTCAAAAGTTAAATTTTCTCATTAGTTATTTTAAAGAAATGAAAATTTCTTAATTGTTGCTATTTATATTGTGTGTAAATTTACATAATTTAAAAATAAATATTATTATTTGATGATACGAAAATCTGTAACAATTATTTGTACATCTTATCTTACGATGGTAACTCATCCTAGTACATAGAACTCACTATCTTATCATGTAGCTTAATTATAGATATAAAAATGCGGATTAAAAATTACGATAATTGATTGAGTAAGCTAACATTCATTACAATTATTAAATGAACTTTGTTCTTTTTCTTTAAAACATAAAATATATAAAATTACAAAATTTTTTTTATTACTTGCACGAGCTTTTACTAAGAGTTATAAGGTGGCACCAGTTGTATAAAATCTATTACATTCAGAAATTAAAAATTCGATTTTTGTATTTTTTAACAAATCAGTAGAGATTAAAAATATTCTGATAAAAAATTAAACATAATTTATTTTCCTAAATGAACTGAATATAAGTATAATAAACTTAATGGACTTAATGCAATTGATTAGAGATTTTGTCAGATTTTGTGCAGTTTCAATCAAGTTTCATTTTCATAAACCCAGGATATTAAACATGCGAAGAGATGAATAAGCAGAGTATAAATTAGTCTTTCCATTCTTACGGTATCAACAATTTTATTTAGCTTTTATTCAATTTCATTTAACATATACAAGAGCTAACATTGTCGTGTCTATGCGTATAATGAATATTTCTGATGGGTTACAAGGAAATATTTTTTTGTCGAATTAAACTCTCTAAAGTTTTTAGCCATTTTTGTCCTCTATTAAATCTTTATAATATAGTTTTCTTGTTTCTATTGGTCGTTGTTGAAATTAATCTATTTAATTTCGGAAATGATAAAATTTTAAAACGTTACATACAATTTTTTCTAACAACTGGGATATGTTATTTGCATAAATAAAGATATCAACTACCTATACTTCCAATTTAATTGTCATCAAATTTTCGTTTGAATATTGCATATAAAGCTTCTTTCCATCAAAACCGTAATATTTCGAATAATACACTGAAAAAAATAAAGCTTATGAGAAATTCAACTATCGTTGATGGGTACAGTTTTATAATATTCTATTGATATATGCTAGTTGTAAAGATAACTAACATTTTATGTTTAGAGTAAATTTTCACTACTTTCCTTGATTCAGTATTTGTGAATAAAATTTTTATTAAAAATTTAAAAATTATTTACACTCAAAGTGATTCGAGACAGACTTCAAGAACATTTCTTTAGTGCCTTTTATTTTGGTAAATTTTAATAAAAAATTTGTCATCGAGTTTAGAAGTAAGAATTTAAAAAAGGCGATATAGTTATTATAGTTTTTTCTAGAAATGTTTCTGATGCCTACTGAATCACTATCTTAAATTCGGCCAAATCATTGTCTTGAAAATACCAACTACATTCTTATTGTTAATAGATCCAACTACATCTATGTAATAGACAATGCAAATAACGAAATACGAGGATCAATTGAATTACGTAGAATAGTTAATTAACAAACTTTTTTCAGTGTAATAGCGGAATATTAGTTGAAAAAAAGACTACTTGCTTTCTGAATCCACACACATACTTTTTTGATACGCTTACTCTTATATTATACCCTACTATTACTGTAGTTTAAATTGTAATAAATATTGTCTCCAAGGTACATACACATATATATAATTATACGAAATTTTTACCTATACAATTTTTTGACAATTATTATATATTATTATATATGTATGTATACGCGTTTATGATGATCATTATAAATAATTCTAAACTTTCTACGATTTTGTGTCGCTTGTCGTATGTCAGGGTCACATTGAAAAAATATATGTATATCAGTTTAAGAAGACAATTATCTATTTATATAGCATTGCGTGTATAGGTACGTGGATATGTGTAAGTTTTTTTTAAGAATAGTGTAAAATACGTAAAGTACAGTTTATCACGTTTTCAATAAATTTATCAACGTAGTTCTCGTTTTTAAATTATTAATAAACTAAAAATTTCACATGTTTCAAGGGACTTATTTTACATGCACAGAAAAAAGAAAATATTAAACCATTTACATCTTCAAAACCAAAATGATTGAATAGTAGTCTATCCATTTAAAATTAAGTCATAACTTTAGAACTTAAAATAATACTCTCAAGGCTAAGATTCAGTCGAAAATGGTTCTAAATGTAAACGGTTTTAGTCAAAAGTGAACTGAAAGTAAGATTCATTTTTTACAGTGTATACAGTGTTTGGTTTTAATATTTTACAATCCAAAAAATCAATGAAAGTGTGTAAGATTTCTGGATAGGAAATACTTTTAGTTATATTATATACTTTATTTTCTAGATTGACAATATTTTCCTTTAAACTTAAAAACGATTTACTTTACAAAATTATTTCGAGTACAAACTCAAAAATTTCTATTATCTAAAAATACTAATGTTGCGAATAATTAATACAATAAGCTTTTTGGATAATACGTGGAAAATTTCTCTTTGTTATCAGATTTCTTTTTTTCAATTTTTAAATCTTATTCAAGATTTGAAAGTAAATTGTCTTATAATTATGTATATTATAGAATAGAAATTGTTAACGATTTTTGAAACGCGCACTTAAATCTAAGCCCTTGTATTTGATAGCAAAGGGTGATAGGAAATAAGAGAGAATAGTCTAATAACACAGTTTTAATTTTAACCTAATGTTAACAGTGGACTCATGAAAGTTAGATAAATAAAAACGAATAAAACATTGATTTTTTTTTTATGGAAAATATAGTATAACATTTGTGGTTCAGTTTTAATTATTTTAGCAGAATAGGTCTTCATGCATACATATATATGACTAGAGTATTGGTTTTTTTTTTTTATAAATTCTATTTTCTCTTATTATTATTTCAGTTGTTATTTGAGACTATATCTTAATGAAAATAAATTTTTTTTTAAAAATAACCGAGATTACAGCAGAGAAAAAGAATGTTTAACCGCACATAAAATTTATACAAATATTTATACCACACACATACACTCTCACACAATTGCGCGCGCATTTCGGTGAGTAAATAACGAACTCATTATGTCGATATATATATAATAAACAATATGAATCTGTCTCTCTGAAAACTTGCAATAAACCGTTTGCTTTAAATCTTGTACAGGTATGAAAAGTTATTGCTCTCTTTGAAAAAAAGAAAAAAAGAAAAAAAACAAAGTAATGGTCCAGAGATCAAAGTAACTAAGATTAAATACTTAATACTAGTAGTCCATCATATTTTACAGTAAATTGCACGTAAAGACATTAGTACAATTAATATTTGTATTTTTCACAATAATATCAATTGAGATTTTTCATCACAGCTTGTTGGAGATTTCGTCTAACTTTTAATACAACAGCTGTAAGGATGAGTCGGACGTACGCAGACTGTAACATTTATAGGTGCTTATAAATGTGACATTTTTCTATCTCGAGTCACGCCGGTTTCAGTCCAGCTTATTGCCTTTTGAAACTACAATAAAATCGTAGATTCCAATTAGAGACTTTGCAGCTTGAATTGCAATTTCCGAACCACTGCGCTAGAATTCGAGTTTATTTCAAGTACATGGTACTTGTTCCAATTATCGTATTTTCAGAATTGCATCGAATCGACTTGAAATAGTACAATAAACCTTCAGCATCAAATAATTAACTTAAGGTAATTTGTACTACGCGTAGGATTTCATTTTTCTTCTCCTTTTATGTACAAAGAAACTCTTTCTCTTTTCACATAGAATCTCAATGTCAATTTGTAACAATTCTAGAAAGCTAACTGTGAAGAAATATGAAACATGAATTCAGAGAAAAAAACAAATTTTCGTGATGTTTAGTGTGTAATACAATATGAAAATGATATGTAATGAGTTACTTAATATGTTTATGCAGCAAGTAGGAGGATATTATTCTTCAACATGTTTTTTCCGATAGATATAAAAATCTTCACTTTGACAAGAGTGCATTGAAAAATTAAACTTTTCCAAATATTTTGTTGCAGATTCTTCGCAAGCTTGGACACGGACAACAATGTTACGGTAAGCCGTTTAAAATAATTTCGAATTTTATTCGTTTATTCGCACAGAAATTTTAGAAAGTTGTGTTTCTTTCCTGGAAGGTTTAAAAAAAATATTGATTATTTATTATCGGCAGTGACTCGGAGGATAGATTCGATAGATTCGATAGTTTCACATATATCCATTGCAGAAACGTATTTCTCACAGGCGAACCATTTTTTCATTTTGATGAACAGGAGTGTCATATATTGGCACACATTTATAGTATTGAGATGGATATGGTGTATAGGAAGTGACAGTTGGTGATAATCGAACCCGAAATTTATTCCTGACTATGTGGATGATAAGGATAACGCATAACAATGCTAACACGATGATTAGTGTTATCGGCACTGTGCCCCAGTTTTTGGCACCTGAATATGCATTTTCCGTCTCGTTTTCCATCTAGAATTAAAAAATCAATAAGTATTTCCGAAAGACTTTAAATTATCAGTATATACCTATTCCAATAATATCTGCTAATTTATAGTATATTTCAATATTTTTTTTAAACGTCTGATAACTTTTAAACTTGAATATATTTAAAATTATCTCGTCAATTTTCAAAAATAACATTCGGAAGATTAGAAAAATTCTTTCAACTTTAAACATTCAGAATTAAAACTTAAGAATATACTTATTTGAAGAAAAAATTTCGATTTTTATTTATCTTTAATCATCTAGAACATATGAAGCACATTGGTCTGTTTCTGTTAATGAATGACATTAATTTGTTATTTTATGAAAATTAGCTGAATTTAATATTATATAAGACTACCGAACTTAAATGACTAAAATAGATATAACGTGCAAAAGTACTTTGAAATCATTTCGACAGTATTCTGTTGCATGCATAAATATGAGGTTGTTAATTGAATGCACCAGAAGTGTGTTGCAGAACAGACTAAACGAGATCAGCGCTTAAATTGCTGGAACGAATAAATTGTCTGTAGTATAAAAAAAGAAAAAAACGTGAAAGGCAGTCAATTTTGAAATTTTAATTTAAATAAATTAAATAAAAAAAGAAAAAAGCTTCTTTTTATTACACAGGAGAATTCTAAAATTTTAAAAGGAAAATACCAGGTTTAACAAAACTTGTACATTTAGTATCATGATAGAGTAAGATAAATGAATTTTCAAAACAACTACTATATAGCTCCATTTATTTTACACTTGTCTGCAGTCTATTGGCGAGTACAAGCGCACATAAATAAATATGTACAAAAACAAGCTAAAGGAGTGCCGCGCCGGCCGTAACGTAAAATATGTAATAAAAAAGGTGACAATTGTCAGGATAAAATTAGTTTTTGTTAAATCATATTTGTAAGCCAGTAAAAATTTATACTGCACGTACTGCACTTGGAATTTGCAAACACAAGTTTAACAACAGTGGGAAAGAAACTGAATATTATTTATAAAAAAATAAATTCCCATCTCGGGATGAAACAGAGATTACTAATAATAACAATATTGGGATCTGGGGTTTATCGAGTTTATCACGATAAGAAAATTCTCATGTTATACACTATAAGGGATGTAAACGGAGGAAACAGTATTGTTTTATGTTGGTCAAGGATCGTGCACACGATAGCGGACACATTACTCACTGTGATTGGACAAATGGGACAGCAATTGCCAGGCTCCGGGGGCTTCTCTTTGCAGCTGAGTCGTCCACTTGCATCACAACTACACGTTGTGCAAGAATTTAGTTCCCACCTCGATCCTTCCGGATGAGTCTTATTGTGTTGATCGATACAAGATGCTCGACATCGACAAATCTGCGTAGATCAAAATTTATCTCGTACAACACATGTACCATCATCATTGATCAAACTGAACACGAATAGCAAACATCGATTTTCAGTTATATATAAACCGTAGACCGTTATACTGTTATTTGAGTGTCGAATATTCGACATCCAGACAAGATGTATACGTACGATACGTACACGTAAAGTTTCAAGCAATTTTATTAAATATTCAAGAAAATGTTTCATCACATTTGAGGACGTTTTGCGCTGCTTTGAAGCGCATCTATACTATTTTTAAATTCCAAGTATTTTAACTGTCTTTCTAGATTTTAAAAATCTATATAAAAGCATAAAGTGACGACGTTCCTCATAATATCGACAAAAGAAGTGGAAAAGTACTTGCAATAATATTTTTTTAACGTTGCACTCGAGAGAAAAAGTTTCCCTCTTGAGATTTATATCTTCTCTTTTTTACCGTAATTGCGTTTTCTGTATAGAATAGAAAGTATTCCGACACCTCAAGAAATGATAAAGTGAAAAATTTCTTACCGAGCATCCCCGTTTGTTGACCTTGTATCCAAAAGAACACTTCTTTTTGCAATCGCTCATGGCCGGACATCCTGGATGGGAGGGTTTGCATTGGCAAAGAGTGCAATCATTCTCATCCATGAGGAGACCGTTTTCACAGTGAAGATCACACTTGAGTTCCGAGCAGACGATTTTGTCCTCTTCGCTTTCCTTCCTCTCTCGATCTTCAGCAGAGGTTGTCGGAATATCAGTTGTGCAGCCACACACACGACAACCGTCCTCGTCCTCAACGAGCTCACAATTCAGTCCGCAGTGTGGTAGTTGTGGGCAAATCTTTCCCTCTCTATTTGCACTGTCTGCCGGAGTCTGCGAGCAAAATTGCAAAATTACAAAAATCCGTCTATTGTCATTGACACATCAAAAATATGTTCAAATATACGTTCAAATATATACATTTCATTCGTAAATATACAGGTAAATACAGGTAAATATGTGCACAAGGAAACTTGTGGACAACTACGAAAAGGAAAATATACCTACATTTTTCACAAATTCAGCTTTTAAACTTGAAATAACTAACTTGACTTATTTAACATTAAAGATAAACGATCAAAAGCTTGTTACTTAAAATATTTACTAACCACAAGTTTAATTTGACGTCAATTTTCAATCAACCTTCTGAACGAAACTTTAATGTTGATTAAAACTTTTAAATTGACTGTAAACTTTAAATGTAAAATAAAGGAGTTAAAACTCGGATGTAAACTCTTCAGAAAACTATAAACATTTTAAAAAGAAAACTCAGTTTCAGAGGAAAGTGGGCTGTAGAGAAAAATACCTCACTCTCTAATACACACCATGTATATATAACCAAATGGATTTTAAAAGAGTGCGGACTCTTTCAAATTTCATGAAAAACTCTTGCATGCTCTTGCTGCAAATCGATACTGCTTTTAATTATTATTTAACACATTTATTTTCCCAACAGTTTTTATTCCCGTTAATTTCGTTTTCTCAAATAATAAACAGAGCTTTCGGGAAACCCGCATTTCAATGTGAATTAAATAATTGGAAATGGTCTTTTAAAGAAAGTTTAATTCTATGATTAAGTTCTCTTTAAAATAAGTTTGTGAAAGAGAGAGAGAGAGAGAGAAAAAAAAACTTATTCGTTTTCGAGGTGCAATAAAACTCGATATCATTGACTGTAAAGAGCTTCTTGCTCCCTCTTTTGAGGTTGAAGTGGTTTGAGTTTTCTCGCACGTATTTCGTCCAAGACGAATTTCCGCTGTTCAGCTATTCATCTTCGTCTCGTCCAGTTTCCGGTCCACGTTTCAGAAACTTGAACGACAATAGTTAAGTTTAGCATGAAAACTTGCACTTTCCTGAGAGCCATACTGCAAACTTCATTTTTAATTTTCTCATTAAAAGCAATTTGATTAAAAATTTACGGCAAAGCAAATTATCAAAGTTGTACTGACACTCCCAACGCAACAGGAAATTCAGTTTTCATTAGCAGTAATAAAATAATAGAGAAAACTTTAATTCAAATATTTAAAATATCGCACCTCTCAATTATGCAATTATTGCAATTTGGCTTCCTCGTATGAAACAAGCGGGATAATTGTATCGATTTGCCAGTTAAATATTTGAGGAGAAAATAAAAAATGGAATTAGAAATAATCTATTTCTGGAGGACCGACATAATTCCCAACCGAGGCGCAGCGCGAAGAGAATAAGTTTGTGGAATTTGCAGAAAAATGTTCCTGTTTTTCGGGGGAAATAAAAAAAGTGAATCATTGTTTCGCCTTTTAATTTTGATTTTGAAGCATACCTTTGCGTCAACACACTGACAAAGTGGACAATTGTTGTTGTCGCTAATGTAGCCGTTGCTGCATTGTAATTTGCAATCAGCGAGCGTTTTACATTTGGCGGTGGCATTGTGCAGTGGGGGGCAACGAGGACAACATTCTCCAGGTGCCGGCGATGTTGGCTTCTCGCAGCTTTTGCACATGGTCGCCTGACAGGAGACTTTTCCCCTCTCGCATATGCAGTTCACGCATTCTCCCTGCTGCCAGGATTCACCATCTGATCGAAGGAGACCTGAATCTGATGTGCAACTCAAAAGTTCCTGCTCGTCCTCCTCACCCAACCACGATACAGACTCTGAAACAGTGATTGCATTATACAATTGAAATAATTAAATTATTCGAGAGAGTGGAAATAATATATTAAATCTTTTGAAAATGTTTGTATTGTAAAATGTTTTTCCTGCTCGTATATACTCTTGAAAAAGTACATTACTCGCTTTTCACCAAAAACTTTGAGTACCTCCTTTACACTCAACAATTTTGGGTGAAAAATTAGTGATGCATTCGAACGAGTAATCGGCTCAGAAGAGATTGAAAAAACGAGAATCTCGTGAAAAATACATTGAAAACCAATGAATGCTACTTTTTGTCTCTTTTTCTTTTATGAAAGGAGAGATTCTCTAACACATCACTGGCGAAAATCAACAATGTTTACCAGCTTAGTCTACCTTGCATAATTTACTCGAAAGTTTCATTTTATTGTGAAAATATATCAACTTAATGCTTTTAACAATTATCAATTAATTGCATAACTCCTTACCTACACTTATATTAAAAAATAAAAATGCATTTGCCAGATAAGCGTAATATTTGTTAGATAAGAAAAGCGACGAAAACAAATTGCACTCGAAAGATATGCAATGAAAAAAATAAAGAAACTGACATGTCATTCATGTCTGAAGTTAAGTACTTTAAGTGACCCTTATATATTGCACTTATTTGTTAATATCATTCTCGCACACCAGCCATATTCATGAGGGAAGGGGATATCAACTCATGTCGTGCATGTCATCTGCTATCATACGCAGAGTGCAATCTACTAAACGCCGAGTAGTGTCTTCGAAACTTCCCTTCGAAACTAATAGAAAAATTAAAACATACGAGTGAATTATTCAAATTTTCATTTTAACCAAGTCTTGAGACATGGAGGAAAGTCATTCAGCTGTCGTTAAAGTTATAGAAGCTATGAAAGATGACAAGCAAATCAAATTTTTTATCAAGTTAATTCCAAAAGACAGATTTGTGGATGCAGTGAATCACATGTGCACTTTTTTTCTAGCTGATGAACCTATTTGCAAAAGTTTAAGTAAGTTGAGTTGTAAACTATTCTTCACAGACATTTTAAATAGTCATGTCCTTTCAAAAGAATAAAAACTGATTTTTCTTGTTACTAAGCAAAAAAGTGTTGAACAAAAATAAAATAAATTTAAAATATATATAAATAATTGTAAAATGAAATTCTAAAAACATTTGTTTTTAGATAGATTATTATTTAAAATGTAGATCAATTTTTGACACAACAGTAATTGTTCTACGACATTCTATGTGTTATCTTTAGAGGTTCAATTTTTATTTAAGTGAAATTATAAAAGAATTTTTGAATTCTTATTTTTAAAAAAGGTTTATAAGAATTTTAACCATTCACTAGAAAAAGTGACCTCTATCGCAAAAGAATTAATTAAATTAGGACGTTTCAGAGAAATGAAGCACAAAATGAGATAAATTTATTTTTCAACTGCAAAATGCCCTTTATAACGTATAGAGAAGAAAAAGTCGTCATTTTAAAAACTGCTCCTTAATTAACAATGCTGTAAATTTTTCACTCATTTTAAAAGTAATATTTTTTGCTGAATCTCTCTAATAAACAAATTTTGAAAAAATAAAAATATGATTCTAATTTTAGATGTGAAGAATGACCCACAGGCCGTAGAGGAATTCAAAGCATTATTTAAAATTGCATTAGAGGATAATTTAAGTGTTGCGGCATTTGTTGAAAATCCTCAAGGTGGAAAGCCTATAATAGCTGCGCTTAATGTTCTTTACCTGGGTGGAAAAGGACAGAAAATCGATTTTAGCCAATATATTGTAAGACATGTTTTCATATTAATTGAAGAAATGACATTTTTACATATATAACGCTTTTCTTGAGAAGATTTAATTAAAATTTTCCAGAGTAAATCTGATAAAGTTCAAAGAGTAATGCAAGTTATGGAAGCATCAGCAGCAGACGTGAATTTTGAAAAATTATACGGCTGCGATAAATATATAGGAGGTTTCGGTCTAAGTGTAGATCCTGTTTTTCGCGGAAATGCAATTGGATATCATCTGCTTATGGCAAGGTAATGTTGGTTGACAAATAAATAAATAAATCAACATTACTCGAGAACTTTTTAACAACTCCTTATTTCTTCGCGTTATGTTGAGAGTAATAAACATTTTAATAAATTTCAGAAATGAAGTTGGCAAAGCGAAAAATATTCCATTGACTATGACCGTTTTTACGTCACCCATATCAGCTAAATTGGCGAGTCGAGCGGGATTTCAAGTATTATCAGAAAAATTGCGTGATACACTCGTTGACGAGAATGGTCAATTATTAGTTCCTGCATGCAAGACAGAGTCTTTCAAATGTATGGGAAAGGATATAAAATGAATTACATTGTATTCACTCAACTAGAATCGAAATATATAAATGTGTATTATGTATATTATGTATATCTTTAGTTTAGATCAAGATATTGTTTGTAAAAACTCAAATAGATACAAACTTATTCTTTTTAAACTTAATAAATTAGTGAGTAAATATGGTAAACTTTTCTTAAAATACAATAATCAGGGTTGCCACGCAACCTGGAAACCTGGAAAACCTGGAAAATTATTGTTTTCTAAAGTTATTCTGTTTATTTTTGAAATCTAATTTTACTTTTTAAATATTTCAAAATTAATTCAATTTTAAAAGAGTTGCGTTTATAATTTTCATAAATATTAGATGAACTTCAAAAGGTTTTAATTTGAAATTTTAGAAAATTTCAATTACTTATTTGAATGAATGAATTAAATAATTTAAATTTCACAGGAATTCTATTATTTACAAATTTTTTATAAATTTCTTTGCAATAATTCAATTATTTTCATGAAGAATAACATTTTTTACCAGGAATTAAATTATTTTCATAAATAATAAAACTAATCGCAGAATTTTAATGTTTTTAAATAAAATTTTAATCGTATTCCTCGAAAAGTGTAATTATTCTGAAAATTTTTAATGAAATTCTTTTTAACAATTAAATCTATTTTTCAAATTAATTTTAATAAAATTCTGCGTAGAAACTGAAACCTGAAAAAATCAGTGAATTTGAAATGAGCAAAAGCGTGACAATCCTGAATAAAACTACTGTATATATTTATATAAAATAGATAATATAATTAATTTATATTATCTGTTTTAAATTTAAATACAATATTCAATTGTCACACACTCAAAGTACAATGATAAAGAACTTAAAGTTTTGAAAATGAATTTCAATATTCGAGAAGAAATTAATTCTATTTTCTGTTTTGTCAGTAAAAGGTAGTGTACACTCAGCTTACTCATCATTTTGCAGCTGGGTTATTCGAGTTGCCTAAGCTAAGGCTACGGAGTTCTGAATTCGAGCAAACTACTGTTTTGTCGGCTCCATCCTCCATGTTAAATGATGCTTTCGGTTAAAGGTATATTCGAAAGCTTCTCCAAGTATATTAAATAAATTTTCTCAATTTAATATTGACAAAATCAGACTACGATTATAGATCGTCTAGTTCGGATCAAACAGCACCTTTCCGCCCTTTTCGCCCTTTCCCTTCCTCAAGACAAATATTGCTGTGTATACATACATATGAAATCTAAACTCGGTTGAGTAAGTCGCTCAGACTTTATGGTATATTCTCAGGAATCTAAATATGTAGATGTTCTTATGTGGGTTTAGAGAGAGAGAGAGAGAGAGAGAGTGAGAGAGAGAACCTCTATGATAAAATTATGTCACTTCACACAAACTCTACGCTTTGCCTCAAAATTGTTATGTAACAAAGCAAATTCGTTAATTCATATTTTACTGAAATTCTGTTAATTAAATCCTGTACAATTTTAATTACAAAATAGAAATTTCAAAGGTGAAATGTGCGAAAAAGACAATGTAATTAATTTGTTTATTGCTGTAGCCAATTAACTGTATTTATATTATAATTTCGGATGAATTTCTATTTATTCTCAATTGTTTTCAATTAATCGAGAGGACTTCTATATGTTGGAGTTGTAAGTGTAAGTGATCAAATGTGAAACTAGTGTGCATGATAGATTTGGTATAGAATCTGCGTTAATTACCTGAGGGAAGACATTTGTAGAGAGGGCAGCAGCTCCCAGGAGTTTCTGGATCAGCAGCTCTCACCGGGACAGGTTGTTGACCCGGTCGACATTTATCAGTAGGACAGGGTGCCACACATTTACATCTTCCATCTTCTGCAGCCACGCTATCTTCCGGACAAGGTGAACCATGAACCCCTGAAAAGGAAAAATCGTAAAGCTGACTATCGTGATAGAACGTGTTTCAAAGATTTTTCCCAAGAAAAATTGCCAGGATGTTCTTCTATAAAAGTCTTCTTACCGCCATATGTCAAATGGTTATATCAAACGTCATATCATTTTTCAGGTGGGATATAAACTTGGCTGTTTCAAGTGACAACCTCGTGGTTGTCAACTGCAATGAATAATTATTCTTTAAATGATTCTCACTTAATGTATTCACTTCCTAATAGTATATGAACCTAGTTTGCTTTGGTGAAGAGTCAGATGCGATGCACTAATCTTCAGGGAATGTGAAAATTAATTCATGACAAGTGTCAAATTAACTTGGCGGTATTTTGAAACTTTTTAAACTGTTTCTGACAGCATCGTCGAGGCATTTAATTGTCTCGAAAGTATAGACCGGAAAACAATATCAATATTTGCATATAGAATACAACTGCAGAATTGTTTTACTCAATGGCAGGTTTTTTCGAGGCATTGATAAAAGCGTGCAATACAAAATGTATCGTCATATTTATTGGTTTCAACTTGAAGGGATTATTATAAATAGAAACATCCGCGCTTTAATTACACATTTATTCGTGTGAGAGAAAAAATATTTTTTTGATATTATTTACGAAATACATGTAAATTTTGTTCCTGACATTCAACCAGAAAAAAAGCAGTACATTTTTAATGGATAAAAATTTCTCTACATTATTCCAGTTCTACCTGTATTATCATAAAGAATTTTTTTAAACATAGGTTATATTTTTCCTTTCAACAAAGATTTCTTTTTCTCATAAAAGTATTTTTTTGGTCTTCCATATTCTTTCTGTCTTATTATCCTGACTTAAGAGTGGTTTATTTACATAGAGCTTTTTCTCCAGCAGACTACTGTTTTCACCTCCTTTGTTTTATCGTAATCCATTTTCTCTTTGTTCAGGGGAAGGAAATTGAGAAATTCAAAGGACATATCCTCCACATACTGACCACATATAGACACGCACAAGCCATTATTGTTCCACACCGCTCGGCACATTTTCATTTTTTCGGTTTAAATATAATTATCTCCGAGTGAGTATTTACACTGTCTTTTGTATAAGATATAAAACAGATTAAAAAGAAGAAATGTTTATAAAATTTTAATGAACCAAATATATTTTAAATGCATTACATTTCTCATCGGATTGCTCCGCGAGAAACTGCATAATTTAAATATTGAATAAAAACGCCATTATAATTTCACACTTTATATTTATATACCTATAATTTGAGATTCAAAAATAAAGCAAAAATATAAGGAATGATGAAATCAGTAAAGCGTCGCGCGTTGAGGCACGAAGTGAACTCGAAATAAATTCTTGGCGATATTTCTGTGGGTGCATTTTATAATGCAAGACTGAGCACAGGAAAAAATAAAGGAAAAATTCTGATCGATGTTGGTTTTATAAATAAAACATAAACTCAAAATGTAGAAAGTAAAGCATGCACGCCACCAATAGGAATCTGCAAATGCTTAAATAGTTATAAATATTATTTTCTAATACAGTGCAACTTTCAACAGAGTAATATAAACTTCCTGGGGGAACGTTGAGAGCTTTTTCCCTTGCAATACATATTGCAATCGCCATGGTACTTTGTTCAGTTGACAGGATTATTTGGTCCTTTACGGCATTTAAGTAGAGAATAAAATAAACGTAGGGCAAAATTGAATTGGGCAGCCAAACGAAACTCAAGATCAGGAATTTTAACGAGTTTTCCTATTAGGTATTCCAATTTTTAGAGTCAAAACGATTTTATGATATTTAAACATTTCGATTATTTTGTCTTTAAACACACAACTAAAACAATTGAATGTATAATAACTTTTCCAACTCTTTTTTACAGACTTTTTCTAAGAATATCAAATAGGCAATATTGAAAAACTAAAATATACTTAGAAATTTTTTTTTGGGTTTTAAAAACCGTTAATGAAACATACAGCAGTTTACTAAAGAAACTTTTTCCGAGCGACTAGAATGTAGTGAACTACATGGACGCAGTAGGATTGCATGTTAAAATTTGCTGACTGTATACCACATTAGAGCCACTTATGGGGGACTTGGTAGAGCGCCAAATCGCAGAGATCCTTGTGTTTATATTATATGTAAAAGTACTTGACGTGGAAATCGAAACATTTTAAGTCAAGGCTTTCCCTGCAGTCATTTTTTCTCTTCTCCTTTTTTTTATCCTGTGCGTTAGTAAACATGCCCAAGGGATAGTAATTTTCTCTGCCTGCCATAAAGATCATCTATATCTGCGGCAATATCATATCGAACCCTTGTGGAAGGCTATGATTTTTTATAAAGCTATGTAGGTTATTTTTACCCAACATTTTTGCCAATTTTTAACAAAAACTGAACGCAGAGATTTTGTCTGCTCTTGTGTGTAGATATTTCAACACCAAGCCATATAAATAATAAAATAAAGACGATGCAGCTTCCTGCAAGTAGCACGTGCTGTACTTCCGTCAACTTTATTCTCTTTCTCTCTTACTTTTTTATTCAGAGTCTTAAAACGATAATATATTACATCACTTTAGAGTTTTTATTTTAAATTATTCAACTTGAAGAATATTAAAAACAATGTAGGGAAATGAACCACAAAATTGTGATGAAATAAAAGAGGGATTTTAATAATACTTTTTCTAAATTGTTTCTTTGCTTTGCTTTACTTTACTTTGCAATCGACTTTGCTTTGGTAAAAAGTAAAAAGGAAAGGAAAGGAAAGCATTATTTATTGCGGTGGATGAATTTGAAAAATCTCCTTCGGCGGAGGCTTTCCTCGTCGTTAGAAAGAGTGGATGATGGAGTTAAACCCTTGTTAGGACGAGATTAAGGGAAGTAACTAACGTTAGTTTACAGCTAAAAGGGGTTCCCAGAGGCAGACGCAAGACAAGTTACCGAGGTAGGTAATTAACAGAAGATTCCTTCGGATATCGTGTAGTAAAATGTCCTCGATTTTACGGTCAATGGGTTATCATATCGTACAGTTCTGTTCTGTAAACTTCCCTCAAGGGATTCTGGATTATAGTCGGGCACTGTAAGCACACGAAATTATGAACCCTCTGATATGAAGTTGACTGAAACTTTAAACGTGATTGTACCTTTCAAAGCAGTCATGTGTAACAAATTTTATGCCTAGTAGATAATATGTTTAATTCTGCTTCTGCAATATTGAGTATATTTTACTCTATAAAGTATATTAAAGTTTTAATAACTATTATTCTTTTTGTCCCCATTTTTTATTATTATCATTATCTTTTCTTATTAAACTTCATTTGTCGATAATGTTCAATGTTTTCAATTAGAGAACATAAAAAATTATTGCAAGAACTTCTTCTCCAAGTTTCATCTCTTAGTTTTCTTTTCTTTCTTTTTTTTCTTTTTTTTCTTTTTTTAATTCGTAAAGTTCTTTTTAATCCTCTATAGTTAAGTACTGTAGTAAATTAATTTTCTTTTCCTGGCTTTGTTATTTGATAAACATGGTCCGGCACATGTTAAAATTGATTAATTATTTTCAATATACATGAATAAAATTTATATTCTTCAATAGAATTTAAATAATTTTATAGGAGTTTGAAATTTTAATGTAAACTTCATGTTGGATAAGCTTTTGAAATTTATGAGCAGAGTTATATGTGTTATGGCGTTAATAATCTGATATTTGATAATCTTTTCGCTAAATTGTAAATTACTGAACAAATAGGTATTATAGTAATATAACCGCATTGAAATATATTGCCTTTTAATGCGCTCTAATGAGGATCAGTCTTGCAACACAAATGAAAGAGTGTATCAACGAAAAATAAAATTAAAACTTTTTATGTCAACTTTTTTTTAGCCTGTCAAGAGACCTTTACTAATTGAGCGAGTATAATTTTATCATTTCTGGCACGGTGTTTCGTAAAATTGAAGCTTTGAAATCAGAAATGAACAATATTAGTTATAAAACGCGATATGCTATTTATGAATGTTCTTCTTTCTACATTTCTGAAAATGTATATTACGTTTTGTAAAATGTTTTCTCTAATTTTAGTTTTTTTTATTCCCTTTATTATAAAAGGAATTTAATAATAATTTTCCAAGAAATAAAAAACGAATATATTTGTTCTATTTCTCGAGGAGAAGTATATTTAAATTTTTTACCTAGATATAAAAAAAATATATATTTCTACGCCCATGATTTCATGGTTCCGTGATTTAAAGTTGCCTTGTCGAGCTGATGTCAAAAAAAGAAAAAGCAAATAATCGCAGAATTGAAAAAGAATACCTACACGTTCTTTCGACAGAGCGGTACAACAAACTTGTCATTGTTGTATAAACTTGAATATTTATAAAATTTATTTTAACGAAAAAATAAGTTAAAATGTCGAGAAATTTAATGTATATTAATTTCCTTGCGTAGGCCTAGCTTCGAAATTGTCTTCTAATATTGAAGCTGGAGTGATTTATACTTGAACAGTAAAATTTTAATGGCTGTATCATTATAAGATATGGACTAATATGGCCTGGGAGGAAGTTAGACAGTTCCACAATAACTTCATCTATGAAATGATAATTAGAAACTTTTATAGGGTTTTATGTCAATAAAACAATAATTAAGTCAGATAAATCATTGTTAAATTTATTATTTTGATAGTTATCGCTAGACATGTTTGGCTGAAGAATTTTTCAAGTTTGTTAAATTTTATTAAAAATTGTTCAGTTATATTATGTGTCAAATATCTACGTATAAAAGTTGTATTGGAAAATCTTTCACGAGATATTTTCTTGAGTTTTACCGCATGTCTTTAAATATAAGCAGCTTAGATTTTTCCATAAAAATAGTGCACCACAGCACGTCGATATTTGCCCTGAGATGCAAATGGTCTGGCACACAAAACAAAAACTTATCGTAATATCAGAAGGATATTTATTTATTGCACAACTACACCAGCTTACAAAATGATATTC